TCACTATCTCTAGGTAATAACATGCACGAGTGGTGGCAAAACAATTGTATTATTTGATTATAAATTTATTGTTAGTCCTAAAATATTTTGAGTCCCCAATCATACACAGGTGTTTCTAATGGTGGGCCATGGTTTCCAGAAGAGTTAATTTAAAACCCTCTAAATGAATGGTACCTAGGAATAAGACTCTAAAATTGTAACATTTAGATTTTAGAAGAATGATTGTTTGGATTAATATTATAATTATTTAAATATACTATTTATTGTTATATATTAAACAGATAAATTACTTGATTTAAACTTGAAGAAAAGAATGAGATCTAGAAACCTAAATTGTTTCAAATCATTTTGTATCCAGTATAAAAAGATTAAAATATAAGTCACAAATTATTAGGAGGAACTAAAGATTTGGTTTGATAAACCTGGATTTTAGTAACTCAGAGAAAGTGGACAATAAACATCAATACCCCAGAAACTTTCTAGTTGATAGAAACTTTGATAACTACTACAACCAAAGAATCTTAAAAAAAAACAAAATAAATCTACATCTTCTTTTCTATAGCTACGATTGATTAAATAGAAAGATTAGAAGAAAATATTCTTAAGATTAAATTTTGTGAAGCTACCACAATTAAATTAATTGCTTATCTGGTCAAATTCAATACAATTAGAAATAGAGAAAAACGCTGCAATTTATAACATTTGGTATCATCAATTACGCAGGAAAATACAACTAAAAATTGATGAAATCTTAAAATATAAAGCAGTTTTTGCTTTGTTCAACAGTCACAAGGAAGGAAAGTGAATTAAATTTAAATTTTGAATCATGGCAAGTGTTTATAGAATTATAAATTTAAAATAAGTTCTTTTAGTAAAAATCTAATCACCAGATATATTCATAGAATTTAATTTAAATATTCCTCTGATTTACTCTCTCTTAGCATACATCATCCATATTTTTAAACCAAATTTCTATTACACATCATTTTCAATACTTTTAAAAAGAATGCAAGCACAAGCACAGCTTATGAAATTAACAAAACATTAAAAATATTTAATTTTTTTCATTTTTTAGAATCTATCGTAACTGAAATGTAATAGTAAACTAGATATAGGGTAGTAT